GTAATCTACATGTTTAATGCAATTCCCATCAAAATCCCAATGACATTCATAAAAGAGATTGAAAAATCTACTGTGAAATTTATATGGAAACAGAAGAGGCCACGAATAGCCAAGGCAATACTTAATAAAAAGAACAACGCTGGAGGTGTCACAATACCCGACTTCAAACTATATTACAAAGCAATAACAATAAAAACAGCATGGTACTGGCACAAAAACAGACATGAAGACCAGTGGAACAGAATAGAGGACCCAGATATGAAGCCACACACCTATAACCAACTTGTCTTTGACAAAGGAGCTAAAAATATACGATGGAGAAATAGCAGCCTCTTCAACAAAAACTGCTGGGAAAACTGGTTAGCAGTCTGCAAAAAAATGAAACTAGATCCATGTATATCACCCTATACCAATATTAACTCAAAATGGATCAAGGATCTTAATATCAGACCACAACTCTAAAGTTCATAGAGGAAAGAGTAGGAAATACCTTGGAATTAATAGGTATAGGGAAGAACTTCCTCAATGGAAACCCAGCAGCTCAGCAACTAAGAGTTCATAAAACTAAAAAGCTTCTGCTCAACAAAAGAAATGGTCTCTTAACTGAAGAGAACACCCACAGAGTGGGAGAAAATATTTGCCAGCTACACATCAGACAAAGGACTGATAACCACAATATATAGGGAACTCAAAAAACTAAATTCTCCCAAAATTAATGAACCAATAATGAAATGGGCAAGTGAACTAAACAGAACTTTCTCAAAAGAAGAAATTCAAATGGCCAAAAAACACATGAAAAAATGCTCACCATCTCTAGCAATAAAGGTAATTCAAATTAAAACCACACTAAGATTCCACCTCACCCCTGTTAGAATAGCCATCATCAGCAACACCACCAACAACAGGTGTTGGCAAGGATGTGGGGAAAAAGGAACCTCTTACACTGTTGGTGGGAATGTAAACTAGTACAACCACTCTGGAAAAAAATTTGGAGGCTACTTAAAAAGCTAAACATTGATCTACCATATGATCCAGCAATACCATTCTTGGGGATATACCCAAAACAATGTGACACAGGTTACTCCAGAGGCACCTGCACACACGTATTTATTGCAGCACTATTCACAATAGCCAAGTTATGGAAACAATCAAGATGCCCCACTACTGACAAATGGATTAAGAAAATGTGGTATGTATACACAATGGAATTTTATGCAGCCATGAAGAAGAACGAAATGTTATCATTCGCTGGTAAATGGATGGAATTGGAGAACATCATTCTGAGTGAGGTCAGCCTGGTCCAAAAGACCAAAAATCGTATGTTCTCCCTCATATGCAGACATTAGATCAAGGGAAACACAACAAGGGGATTGGACTTTGATCACACGATAAAGTGAGAACACACAAGGAAGGTATGAGGATAGGTAAGACACCCAAAAACCTAGATAGCCTTTGTTGCCCTAAATGCAGAGAAACTAAAGCAGATACTTTAAAGTAACTGAGGCCAATAGGAGAAGGGGACCAGAAACTAGAGAAAAGGTTAGTTTGAGAAGAATTAACTTAGAAGGTAACACACATGTACAGGAAAGCAATGCGAGTCAACTCCCTGCACAGCTATCATTATCTCATGTAGCAAAAACCCTTGTTCTTTCCTATTATTGCTTATACTCTCTCTTCAACAAAACTAGACATAAGGGCAAAATAGTTTCTGCCTGGTAGCAAGGGGTTGGGGGGTGTAAAGGAGGGAGCGGGGCAGGGGGGTAAGGTAGGGGGCAGGGAGAAAAGGGGAGTAATGACCCAAACATTGTATGCACATATGAATATAATAAAAAGAGGATAAAAAAGAATTTCTTCTTGTTGAGGTAAGCTGTGTTGATGTGTAATGCCTTCTCACTCTGTGCTTTAAAATGTAATTATATTAAGTAATCTATGGTCTGAGACATGATCATTCTCTAGCGACAATGAACAAGGATCTTCCCTTGTGAAGTTTGCTAATTGTGGATATATTTCCAGCAAAGGAATTCAGTAACAATGTACTCACTGTTGAAATCCCGACTTTTTTGATGTCAACATCCAAGCTCCTTTTTCCTGTGGAGAATGCTAACATTCTACCCTGCACCTAGTTACTAAAGTTAATCTACCTCCGCCCCTGGGTTTATGGAGGAATAAAGTAGTATAATACAATGCATGCTCTGTGCTCCCTTGGGTTGAAATTGCTGGGGTCCACCACATGGAGCCTCCATCCAGAAGAAACAGCTAAGAAATGGATCCTGTTGATGTAACTTAAAATTCCACATCAAGCAAGGTCCACAAAAACCAAAGTTGAGTTTTGATAAGGCTTTATGTATTCATCTAAAATAGGTACTTCAAATAAGGCCAAACATGAAGGTCTGCCCAGGAAAACTGGACAGTTTGTTCACTATGCTCCCTTTGTTAAAATACAGTCTCCTTACTCAGTTTCTCTCCAAAATTTTAGCCTTCCATGGTCTAAAAATATTAAATGGAAAATTCCAGAAATGAAAAATCTGTAAGTTTTTAAACTGCATAGTGTGACAAAATCTGGCACCATACTCTACCAGATGAATCATCTTTGTCCAGTGTATACATATTGTATATACTACCCACCTATTCATCAGTTAGGACCTATCTCAGTGATCAGAGCAATTATTACAATACTGCAGTGTTTGTGGTCAAGTAGTTCTTGATTTAACAATCCATTTTATTATTAAATTAATACTTGTTCTGTTTTGCTGTTATTTTTGTTAACTTCTTACTGTGCTTTTTATCACAGGTATGTATGTATGTATAAGAAAAAATACAGTACATATAGAGTTTGGTACTATCTGTAGTTTCAGGCTTCCTCCAGGGGTGCTAGAATATAGCCGCAGTCCATAACATTCTTCTCAAAGAAGTTCTACTGCTTATTGGAGCAAAGCCCTGAGCCATACCCCAGGCATGCATGAATGGTAACTGAACCCTCTTCTTTTCCTAACTGGACTATTCACCTGAACTTTTCTTTCAGACTATTCAGAGAAGACAGAAGAAACTGGGAGCATGGAGCCCTTTGTCTCATGGCTTTTAATTTTGCCTAAGTTATCTTCAAACAGTAGTCTGTGGCTTCCAACATAAAAAAGCTAAATATAATCAAATTTATAAGGATGATGACAAAAATGAAATTCCACAACTAGTCAATATGTGGCTCTAGTCTGTGTTAAATAGACTCTCACAATGACTTATATCCAGACCAGAATTAAATGGCATAAATATTACACAAAAATTGATTATAAATTTTTGCATTTGCATTTTTGAAAAGAAATCATTTTTTGGATGCCTTAGTAGGATGCTGCCTACTGACGTGAATTATCTTTTATTCTAACTGTATATTCTTCTTGCTTTAAGACAAAGATATTCTTTTTGATGACATTAGTATGACAGTAGATAGTATTTATTTTGCCAAGTATTTTTTTTAAAAGTTGCCAACCCCAAGTTCAGCCCACACTTTCAATCTTTAAATATTTAATCTTTTAATAATGAGTTCATGACCTTTCAAAGTTGATACCTCAGAGACACAGGCAGGCTGAACAAATTCCCATTTCCATACTAGCCATAAAGTACCCCTGATGCAGTGTCTCAGGTGTACCACAGTAATTACTAGGAACTTTGCTTCATGTGATTGAAGAATGAAAGTCATGGACAATGGGGTTGAGCAAAAGAGCAGTTTTATTTAAGCAGAGAGGAAAATCTGACTTTTATTTAAGCAGAGAGGAAAAGAATAGAAAAGCTCCCATATACATGGGAGGGGTCTCAAAAGGCTGAGCCCCTGAGGCTCCTTTAGAGGTTTTATATGATTCTTACTTCCTGGTTGAAGGGAAGCTGGTTGTGTCTCTTTGCTACTGGTCTATTCATGGGATGCATATTTGCACCAGCCCAGGACATTGCAGGGGCACTATGCATGCCTTCCTCTTCTTTCCTGATCAGCTTGAGGTCCAGCACACTGACTAAGCATCCTATCAGGACATGGTTCAAGTGCTATTCACATGTCTCAGTAGTTTCAAGGCTTGAGCGAGCAGTCTCAAGATTTCCCACTCTCCACACCTGTTGACCCCGTCTCTGTGTCCTTGGTAAGTTTTCATGGAGTCACCCTGTCTCTGTCCTGCCTGTTTAGTTTCTACCTCCTAAAACTTCCAGTCTCACCCCATGCCTGACACTTAAACAAAACATTAAGAAAAACAGTATATTAACTATCTTTCCATTTTAAAAGGGCACATTGTACTTTAGCATTTTCCCCTAAGATTTTAATTAAAATAATTGAAAGAGATATACCTGTCAGGAAGGAAACAATTTCTCTTCAACTTTCATAAATTCATACTTGAGAGAGATACCTGTAACAAGACAGGTAAACAAAAGAAAAGCAAGCAAGTTTATTAATGCATGCAATAAACAACACTACATCACATGGGAGAAACCCCAATGAAAGGTAACACCAACCAGTAGCTTAGAACTCTGGCTTCCATAGGATCTTCAACGAAGAACAGTAAATTTTTAGAGGAATGACAGAATAAAGAAAGCAGTTTGGGCTTCAAAAGGTGGGGAGTGCAAGAAAGTAAGTTTATGGGAGTCAACTAATGAAGCAATGTTCATAGATTCCTCTGGTGCTATGTCTGAACTGCTCAGTATTCTCTTCAGTGATTAACTTCTATCCTTCTTTATACATATGTGTGTGGGGATATCGTCACAATTTTATGTTCTGCTTTAAGGTAAATATGGGGTGGGGGCAGGGAGCCTTTCTGACTCTGCTTCTTAACTGTCTTCAGCTCAAAAATATTTATGTCAAAGAAGCATGTTGGAGTTAATCATTCTGCTTTCCTTCACACCACAGAGAAACATCACAAAAACATCAATGAACTATATGGAGAAAATAGACAACATATGAGAATTCTTTTATAAAATGATACACAATAGAAAAGAAAAACAACTCATGTTTTATCTAGTATTTAAAATTAATTATAAACCATAGCAGTAAAAGCTTTCCGAACATTGGCAAGAAAAGCTGAAAAATTGTTGGTCTTTCTTACATTCTCTTGAAACTCTTCTAGGCACTCAAGATGAGGAGCACTATCAGACACTAGAAGAAAAATTAAAGGAAGATAATATAAATGAAGGTGTAGGAGAGAGAAGTACTTCTGATGTAGATGCTTTTATTTGACTTGAATGTCAATTACATTTTACTGAAATACTCTGAGCATAAAATAATATACTTGATTTTCATATGCTAATAAGCTCTTGGACTTTCACTTGTTTAATCTCTAAATGTTCAAATCTTAAGTACTAAGATCCTGCTTTAAATGTAAACAGATGGCATTCAGGGATTGAAGAGCTTAGTGATGCCATTTTCCATCTTAAACCCATACATTTTGTTTTAACTACTTAACTGTTTCACCTTGTTTGAACTTTTAAATAATTTTCCTATGCAAAAATTTAATCTGACTTCTAGTTTCTCACCTCTGGATCAAAAAAAGTACAATTTTCAAGGCCAATTTTTAATAACTGCAATTATGAAAGAAATATTCTGAAGTTTTACAAGCGAAATGGAAGTCATTGGAAAATATGGTTGCTATTCCAAGAGTGTTGGTATTTACGGAGTCTATTAATCAAGTGAGTCACAAATAACAAAGGCCCTCAAATGTAGTTCTAACAGATGGTATACTAGGAGCAAATCTCAGGTGAAGTTGGCCAAAGGAAAAGAGCTTGACCATATCAGATTTCCAGCTCTTTGACTGAGATTGGTTAGGAATCACAGACTATGCCCAGAACAGATAAAGAACAGCAAAGAGTACTTGGTTTACAATATATCCTGTGGATGCTATTTTAATGATTATTAAATTCTATTAGGACTATGTAGTAATAAAGGTTATACAGAGAAAATTAAAAAGCTAGATAAGAAGGTTTTTTTCAATTTGATATTTAAACTCATTAAATTGGAAGACAATTACTAAAGAGAAAAACCCCAAACACTGTGTAGATAAATTAGATTTTCAAAATACAAAATCTTTTAAGAAAAGGAATTGAGTCTCCATTGCATGTTAGAGAGTCAACTCAGCAGTTCACTGAGTGTCAGTAATGCTTTAGTATGATAGCATAGGTGTAATGACCTAAGAACCATTTTTATAGTTCCAACAAATCCAGGATTACTTGTACAGGGGTTAGAAGACTAAAAAAAAAAAGATAAATATTTTCCTTATTGTTCACACTATTACCAATCATATATATTCCCAATAAATCAAAGGCTTTTTGGCTGGCTACAGAATCGGTAACTAACATTATCAATGTGTGGGATTTTCAGGATGAGACAGTTTTTAAATTTTGTTTTGGGGAAAATAAAGTATAACATACTCATTATTTTACATTTTATTTTAAAGTCAAACACTTAGATAAATTATAATGATAGTAACATCTTTAGAGTTTAAAGTTTTCTAAATGGAAATTCACAGCATATAAAATGTGGTGATTTTTGATGTTTTAGACCTTTCAGTTACTGCCACACTGGACCATCCTGAAGAGATGTGACTAGGTCCCTAGGTAATATCTATAAATCAAAACTATACTCATCCTTGAGAGGACAGTACTTCAAGAAGCAAGACTAGAAAAGGAAGCAATCAATAACTTCTGGGAATATTACTTTCCTTCAAATTACTTTATATTCTGATCCAAATAACATTTGGGGATACCAATTTTAAATACAAGTTGAGATATGAGTACACACCTTCATAGTCTCTTGCTTCATTTATACGTAGGGAAAACATAAACGGGCTCTCGGGATGCTTAGGGTCAATACCGGTGAATATAAACTGCAATTTATCACCTGAAAGAAAGTAAGTTATTTAGCATGAGAATATTTTATCATACTAAACCTTTCAGGGGAGAGCTTTCTTATCCCATCTTTGATCAATACTTGTATTGCTAAGTATATATATCCACTTAGCCAACATCTCCAACTGTAGAAGTTACAATTAGTTTTAAAATATAGGCAACAAAAGAAAAAATAAGCCAGACATCAGTGAAATTAAAAACTTCTGCCTTTTAAAGAACGAAGACAAACCACAAAATGAGAGAAAATACTTGTTAAACATATATCCAGCAAAGCTTGAATACACAGAATATGTACTTTTGAAAGCCCTACAATTGAACAACACAAAAACAGATTCAAACAGGTAGCTGTACATCAATGTTCAATGTATTACTCATAGTAAGCAAACAACCCAGTGTCCTGCAACAGATGAATCACTAAATAAAATGCAGTACATGCACCAGGAGATTGCTCTGCCATAAAAAATGAAGGAAGCTTTCATATAAACATTATGGAAAAAAACCTTGAAAATAATGCCAAGTGAAATAAGCCAGATGCAAAAAGACATATATCGTATGATTCTACTTACATAAAATAGCTAGATAAATAGAAACAGAAGACAGATTAGAGGTTACTAGAAACTGGAGGAGGAAAGAATGGTGAGCTATCACTTCATGGTACAGAATGTGTTTGGGGTGACGAAAAATTTTGGAAATCGATAGTGGATGACGATGGTCACACACAGCAAATGTAATTAGTGTAACTGAATTACACACCTAAAAGATGGTTAAAGTGGCAAATTTTATGCTGTATATTCTACCACAATTAAAAGTATTGTCAAAATATTTGACATTTTTCTACTCACTTGGGACTTGAAGGTCCGAAAGATCTTCAAATGCTCCCAGAGGAGCAAATAAATGCCCAGTAGAAATTCAAGACAGCAACCACAAAGTATAAATTCAAATGCATTTTTAGGTTTTTTTCTATCATATGAAAAAATAGAAAATCTCATTTAAAATTCTTTTAATTATGAAAATAGATCTTCAGAAAATGAAAAAAACTGATCCTGCATTCAACTTCAAAATGAACTAATTATATCAGTATGCCAGATTTTTAAACTGTTACTAGTAGTGGGAAGGAAAAAAGCTTTCATAAGATATTCAATTAGGCAAAATGAGGGGTTTAATTTGGCTTTTCTCTTTCCCTGAGGAGATAAAACAAAACAAAAAAGTGCTTTCCTATTCTCTTACTCACTAATACAGAGTCAACCTTTGTGACCCCATATGGAACAATATTCTCCAGACACCCCAGGCAATCAGTTGTTCTGCAGTGGACATCAGCAGGTTGTCCTCTAGTTCAGTTCAGCTCTGACACTATCTATCTGGAAACAGAACACTGCCACCATCCCTTTTTTGGGTTTGACTAATCTGCTTGAGCAGCTCATGGAAACTAGGGATAACACATCATTTACATTTACCAATTTGCTACAAAAGATGTTACAAAGGATATAGATGGAGAGATGTATAGGAAAAGGGGCGTGGAGCGTCCATCCCCTCTCTGGCAACATCACTCTCCAGAAATGTCTATTTGTTCAGTTGTCTAGAAGCTCCTAGAACCCAGTCTTTCAGGTTTTTTTTTTTTATAAAAGCTTCATTATCTAGGTATAACTAAGTCACTGGCCATTATTGATTAACAAATGCAACCCCTCCTCTCCTCACCCTTCCCCAGAAGTTGGAGGGTGATTAATCAGGCACATGCTCCTATCCATCCTAAAGCTACCTAAAGGCTGCCAGCCATCAGTCAACTCATCAACACACAAAATAACATTTATCACATTAGAGATTCCAAGAATTTTAGGAGTTGTACACCAGGAAACTAGGAGAAAGACCAAAGACCTACTTCATAATATCACACTTCCTTCACACATTATTTCATGACTTTGAGAGCTATGGCAAAATTCTTTTTTAAATCTAAAAATAAGCCAGGTGCCAGTGGCTCAGGCCTGTAATCCTAGCTACTTGGGAGTCTGAGATCAAGAGGATCTCAGGCAGATCATAGTTCCAGGTCAGCTAGGCAAAAAATGTTTTCAAGACCCCATCTCATTGGAAAAATCTGGGTGTGGCAGTGTGCCTGTCATCCCAAAGATGTCAGGAAGTTTAAAATAGGATTGTGGTCCAGGCCAATCTGGACAAAAAGCTATACCTTATCTCCTAAATAACCACAGCAAAAAGGGCTGGAGGTGTGGCTCAACGGGTAGAACACCTGCCTCACAAGCAGGAAGCGCTGAGTCCAAACTCCAGTACTGCCAAAAAACCCTAGTACCGCCAAAAAATATATCTAAAAATAATTTTAAAGGCTTAAATCTGTCTATTTAAAAATAAAACTAAACAAAAAAGCACTCTAGGATGACAGTGAATATTAGTGTTCAACACATCGAAGTTCAGACTTGAACCTTATATTCTCTTCTAATCAAAGGGGTTAATATTTTTTTAAATTAAGAACTCAATCCAATTAATAGGAAAAACATCAAGTCTAAGAGATATACAAGTAAAAGACTCAGTAAAGAAAGAAATGTAATTAGTAAACAAATAGAAAAAAAAAGTCACCTTTTCTTTAATAATCAAATTTTTTAAATTAAAAATGCAATTCTGGTGCTAAGAGGACTAGAGGGTGATGGGCAAAGATAGGGAGGTTAAACTAAGGACCAAGAACAAAAAACAGTTTCACATTCTTGAATATATGTTAAAGCCTTAATTCAAATCCCATCACAACTCCCTAAGCACCAGTATCTGATAAGCACTGCAACCAATCCAAAGCAACAATGGTTTCTCCTTATTGACTGCCCTCCTATCCAATGCTATCCCCACCTTCACATAATCTTACCCCCTTTAATACAACCAATGGAAGCTCAATGTAAACAATTTATTCTTCTTTCCCCAAATTTTCATTAGAAAACAAATGCTCTTAGTTCTGGTCTGGTACAAATGCTACCAAGTCCTGCCACAGGTAGCTGTGAGAACCTTGTCCCAAGATAGGTGGTTTCTCTCTGGCTGGCATCTATAGAAGAATTCTTTTATTTCAGAGACCTCTCAGTCTCAAGAGTTTTGGTTTAATACTGCCAAGAATACAATGAAATGGATTCTCTGTAACATAACAGATAAATGTGTTTAAGAGTTAACAAAACAGGCTTGAGATGCTACCCTTAGGAACCTTAGGAAGTCTTGCTTGCCAGGTTTGTCCTTGGCTGATGTGTCCTGGGAGAATACACGAAGTCAGCAAGAGAGGAGAAGTCTGACGAGAACTAGGCACAAGTTCCAGAGTCTCTAGTGCAATTTCAGTAGACAGCATTTCTTCATTCATATGTGCTATCACGATTCGATGTTTGAAGGAATTAAGTGCATCCTGAGGGGTTCCAAAGTTAGGATTCTTGAAAACTTGTACCTAGTTTCTTCGAGACCTTGCAGTGTGGGCCTTTTTACTTTGCTGAGTCTATTCTGTATCCTTTTATGCAATAAAAAAATCTCAGCCATGTGTATGATTAGTGTCCTCCCTTATCTGTGGTTTCAATTACCTATAGTCAATTGGAGTTCAAAAATATGAAAGGGGAAATTCCCAGAATACACAATTGATAAATTTTAAATTGTGTACTGTTCTGAAGAGTGTGATGAAATGTCATGTATTCTACTCTGTCTGCCCAGGATGTGAGCCATCCCTTTGTCCAGTGTATTCACACTGTATATACTACCCACCTAATGGTCACTTACTACTAATCTCAGTTAGTAGATTGATTGTGCCCTATTTAAGTAACATTTGTTTTCCTTCAAGTGCAGAACAGTGGTGCTGGTAATTTGGATATTATGCCAAAGAGAAGCCATGAAGTGCTTTCATTAAGTGATGCATACAAAGGGAAAACACAGTCTACATAGTATGTGTTACTATCTGTGGTTTCAGGCATCCACTGGATGTCTTCAAACATATGCTGTGGATAAGGAGTACTATAACATGAGTCCTCCTAGTGAACCACCAAACCTGAAGTTGATCTTGGAGAACTCCAAAACAACATTGTTATAAATTAGAACATACATAAGTAATAGTCATAGAAGTATTCCTTTTATGGCAATTAAACAAAAGAAAATGGGGCAAGGGATAGGTACAGTGGCTCGTGCCTGTAATCCCAGTTGCTCTGGAGGTAAAAGGTTCAAGGCCAATGTGGGCAAAAAGTTAATGAGTCATCACATCAACAAACAAGCTGGGAGTGGTGGTACACACCTATTATGCCAGCTACACAGGAGGTGTAGGTAGAAGAATCAAACCTAAGACTGACTCTAGACAAAAAAAGCATGAGACCCTATCTGAAAAATAACTAAAGCAAAAAGGGCTGGTAGAATGGCTTAAGTGGGAGAATACCTGCCTAGCAACCATGAGGCCAAAGAGAAAAAAGAAAATGGAGAAGTTGATATTTTTTGTAATATTGCTAAAACTGAAAAATTGACAGAATCCAAAGGTAGAAGCAGTATATGTGTTAAACTACTGATAAAGATATTATATTAAAAGAATGAATAATTACACCACCATTTTAAAATTACTATTGTTAAAGCAACTGGAAAAATGTTAATGATACAAATGTCAGTGAGAACAAGGAACAAAAAGCATTTGCTTGTTGACAATCATGTCAAAAATACTTGATAAATAAAGCATTAGTAGTTATGTTTGGGTGATTTAAAAATTATAATTTTTTTCCTGTTTTCTAAAAAGCTAATAAGCTAATAATAAAGTTATTCTTTTAGTTCAAAGTATTTTTTAGATCCTTCTGTACTTAAAATACAGCTTTTCTAATTTCTATTTTACTTACAGCAAGAACTTACCATGAACCTTTCTAATTTCTAGTCCAAGTCGATCTTTATACACATCTGCTGACTGCTGCAGCCTTTTCAACCTCTCTTCATTAGCTTTGTTAGCAATGGAAATAGCTATGATTAAAAAACAAATTACACTGTATCAAATATTTTAAATAACTCTCAATGAATGTTCATAGAATTTTAAGAAACTTAAAAACTATAAAAATTATGCCAGGCATAGGAATTTTTTATATTTATACAGTTTCTATCTCTACCTACTAGCAAAAGGAGTTTTTGTTCATTCAAGATGGAAGGAAAAATTGCTCGAGATGCAGATAATCAGAACAGGGGTTTATATAGCTAGCATAGAAATAGACTTCCTTTATAGTATTTTGGTTTTTCTGTATAGACAAAGATATACTAATGACTTTGTAGGAAAGATATTCTATTTCTTTAGGCCAATTTCCCATGAGAAGTCAGCCTTATTTCTTTTAAACTTTAAAAAATAATCTCTGAATAACAGTTGGCAGATGAGAAAAATAATTTCACAACTTAGTTTTAGAAAAAACATTAACAAAATAAACTTTGCTATCTTCAAGAGATTTGAAGAGTTGATTATTGTGGGCCAACAAGTCTCTTTTTTAAATAAAGCTTTTATTGGATATGAAATGTTTTTGACAAAAAGACTTTGCAGCCTAATTAGCGTGCTTATATTACCTGGCAGAGAGTGTACAGGCAATAAATGTTTGTTGCATAACTCACACTAAAGCAAATCTTATTTAGTGGCACTGTCTCCACTCTGCTTAATTAAACCCTCTTATCATTGCCAATATTACTCTGGTTAAAACAGAAACTAAAGGGTAAAGCCCTTTAAGTAAAGCAAAAAAAAAAAAAAAAAACCAAAATCCACTTAGCTAGCTTATCCTTGTAGACAAATGGCTGGCTAGGCCTAAGGTAGTTTAGCCATTTTTAACAATGAAGCAGAGCAGGCAAGATATACATGATTGTAACAATCACTGCTTTGAAATTCTGATTGATGTTTTAAATAGGTTTATTACTGGAAACTTACTTTCTTTCTTTCTAGAATATTCTTCCTTCAGATCCTGGATATTTGCCATCAGTACTTCCAATTCCTGCTTTTTGTCTTTTACTTCAGCAATCAACTTTAACAGGTTATCTTTTTTTTCTTGAATGATCTTATTCTGCTTGCAGAGCTCTACAAGTATAAGGTATTAGCTTTAATACATATGTCCTGCTCTCTGACATGTAAGAAAGAACCAAAATTTATTGACTTTCAAAATATTAATAAACAATAGATTTTGTTTTTGAAGTCTCATGTACCTTAGGCAGGCCTCAAACTCAGAATCCTCCTGCCTCAGCCTGATGAGTGTAAAGAATATTTTGATTGATAAGCATTTTCTAATGATTCAAAAATCATGTAAGACCTTCCCCCCAAAAAACCTAATCTATTCTTTCCTACTTATTTTTGAAAACAAAAATGAGACAGAATTGTTTAAAATGAAAAAACCAAATAAGCCACAAGATAGAAAAGCAGACCAGGACCCCTGCCATTTCCTATTCCAAATAAGTACATAAATAAAACCCACCACCAAAGACAGTCAAACTCTAGAAGACAGCTCTATGTAGATCTCTGAAGAAACAGCTAATTCTAATACTTTATAAATGGTTCTGGAATATACTAAAAAGATACAAGGGAAAGGTAGGTATGTAGGCAAACAGAAAAATCTTACAAAATTAGGATAATTCTGAAATTAAAACTCAATGAAGCACCATCCCTCCACCTACAGCCACATAAACTAAATTTTACTTGAAAACATAGGTGTACAAATGGTTAATATTAACTTATATTAAAAATAACCCACTGAGAGGAAATATGTCTGGACATATGGTGAAAATATATTAGGAAAATTCATCACACAGGCAGGCTTTTTTTGGTGGTAATGGAGTTTGAACTCAGGGCCTGGTACTTGCTAGGCAAGCAGTCTACCACTTGAGCTACACCTCCAGCCCTTTTTCCTTTAGTTATTTTTCAGAAAGAGTCTTTGGACCAGCATTTGGACCATGATGTAGGATTACAGACCTATACCAATACACACCAGCTTGTTCTTTAAAGTTTTGCTAGCTTTTTTTTTTTGCCTGAGTTAGCCTTGAACCACAATCCACCTATCTTTGACTCCCAAGTACTGGGATTAAATGAATGAGCCACTGTGCCCAGGCCATATGAGAAGATACTGAAAAAATATTTTATTTTATATAAATTCTTCACCCACTCCTGATACCTTTTTTTTTTTTTTTTTGCAGTGGTGGAGATTAAACTAGGCTCACACATGCTAAACAGTTCTCTACCACTGAGTTATACCCCAGCCCTTTCAAAAAAATCTTTTATTTTGAGACAGGGTCTCACTAAATTGCCTGGGCTGGCCTTGAACTTGAGATCCTACTGCCTCAGTCTTCCATGTAGCTGGGATTCACAGGCATGCCACCAAATCTGGCTCTAATACTGATTCTTAAACTAGATGTAGTGTAGCAAGCTTTCTCAATCTGTGTTCTTTCCAACCTAACTGGAGGCAACAGGAGACTCAGAAAGGACAAACAATAGAAGACAGACATGCATAAAGTTGGGGCCAGGTGTGCCGGGCACTCAGATGGAGATGCACAACAGCCTCATTGCTTCTTTTCTTCTCTATTCTTTAAGGCCTTTCTCCTTCACAATTCTTTAAAACCTTGCTTCTTTTCTATTCTTTAAAGTCTATTTCCTTAGACTCGGTTTGTCTCATGTTTTCTTTAATCTCTCTTAAAGTCTTGGCCCTCAGATTTGCACTGTCCCATGTTCCCTTTTTAGCTTCCTTAAAGTCTCGGTGCTCAGACTTGCACTGTCCCATGTTTCATCTAATTTCTCAGCAGCCCGCCAATCAACCAACCCCATCAAAAAACCTTCCATCAATTCCCCATCAAAAAACCCCTTCAGCGAGTCTTTTATATCCAGTGGCAAACAAGGAGGTGGAGCAACAGTTCTCAGGGAGGGGCTTGACACTGTAACAAGAGAAACCTGTCTTCCTACTTCACTGAATATAAACAACTTAGGAAAAGCAGCTGTGCTGCATTTTGCCTCTTCTGCGGTGGTGCCAAACTTAGCCTGTAGATCACTGAGCACAACTGTCTTATGTCAAGTTCTCATAGGCTTCTCATAATCAGCTCCCCACAATGTAGAAAGGCATTTCTTTAACATGATAAAAACAAAATCAAAACCTTTCAAATCTTATAGTATTCTTAAAGTACAACAATAAAAGTCATTTTCAAAAGGAATAAAACTAGGGTGCCTGTTCTCATTGCTATGTAATATTTTCCCCAAAAAGTTTCTGGCCAATACAAGATACATAGCTGGCAAGACTACCAGAAAAGAGAATTTTCATTATATGTAGATGATAGACATCTATCTAAAATACTCAGAAATCCACGGCAAGTCTCTGAGACTTCAAAGTATAAAATTTTTATCTTTCATCAATTGCACCAATACTACATAGGTGAGAGTAAATATTTATACTAATATTATTAACTGCAATTATTAGGTTTTGCTATTTAATCCCTAGTAATTTTAAATACTCAAATAGTGCCTTTTTATAGCTATCTCAGACATTAGCCAGAACTTCATTTCCTTTTGGGTTTAATCCCACTAATTTCCCTACCTCCTCTAGGCCCATGTCACTATTCCTACAAATTCTCCTAGCCCTCTTAAACACTCATCTTCTGCAACTACTCACAACCCAGCACAAACAAATAGAAATAACAAAGCTTGTGTTAAATTGGCCAGGACTCCCTTCTGGAAAAGGGAATAACAATGGCAGGGCCAACCTACATCTGTAGGCTAGAAAAACAAACACAATTTTTCTACTTGGAATTGCTCCCGAAGTCCAAACAGGAGGCTAACTAGAGCAGGTCTGCACTAAAGCCTAAGAACTCTAGACAGAGGGTACTGAGAACAAGGACACAAAGCCAGCATCTTTACAATATAGGTAGGAAATATAGGGTTTCTCTATGTTGCCCAGGCTGGTCTCCAACTCATGGGCCCAAGTTTTCCTCCTGTCTCAGTCTCCTAAGTAGCTGGGACTATAGGAGTATACCACCACACCCAGCTGTGCTTATGAATTTTTAAATTAAAGATTGAGTTTTACTAATATTTAAATGAAATCTGAACAACTTTTTAACATAAAAAATGCCATTAATATTAGCAGTCCTGCATTACATTAACACAAAATAACTACATTGCCATATGATTCTAGTAGTTAATGATAAGTAGGTATGTGTTCCAAGGATGTTCTCTTAATGTTAAATAAGGTAGCCCACCACAGAACTTCTGAGACCTTCAGTACTATGAATCCTCGAAGGGGAAATGACACCATGATCTGTTCCCCAAATCAAACTGAGAATAGAATTCTTTGTTTGAGGAGCATCTCTCAAAAACCGACATGCCTCAGGAAATGGGGATGTCTCATTTTTAGTGATAACAAACAAAACACAAATAATCTACATCAAGAAATATGTAGGCTTTGTATGGAAAAAATCGCAAAACTTGCCGGGGACACGCATTTGACTTTGATTTTCAGAGTAACATTTTATGCTTCTAAACACCATAAAAATGTCAGTATTTCCCACATTCACTTCTATATTTAATGCAGTTCCAATGGAAATCCAGAGAGCGTAAAAGAGGTCTAATAAAAGTAATTACTAAGTCCATGTGACAATATGCAGAAAAACATAGTTAGGAAACATGGAAGGAAAAAGAACAAGGAAAAGCACTTGTCCTGTCAGATGCAACATTTGTGATTGAGACACTTATACTCGTGGAGTACTAGTTGAAGAACTGACATACAGCTCAGTAAAACAACAACAAAAAAATTCCTAAGCAATTGCCAACATATTTAGGAAGTCAGTAGGAAAAGGAAATATAGAATCTGTGATCCAGGGGTAGATGATTCCCTAAACAGCACTGGAATCACAGTTCAGTATATGAGTGTAAATCTAATTAGGTGGGGAAAGCTCTATCTATTCAAAGGTAAAAGAAATCAAAGAGAAAGTTTACAAAATTTAACACGCAAGCAAAACAATTTGTATTTGACTCAAATGAGAATAAAACTACAAAATGGTAGGTACTTGTTTCAAATACCTAAAAAATGTTATAAATTTACTTAAGGTTCATCATAATACTATTACGCAGGTCTTAGTCACTTTTGTAAGAGGAAGAGGTCAGTAGTTCAGAGGCCCAAGCTGTATTTGCTAAGATGTAATAAATAATAAGAACTGGATTCAAAGTCAGGTCTTGACCTCAAAGGTAATGCTTTTGTCCTTTAAACCTCCTCCAACAATGGGTTACTGTTTTAAACCAAAGATGACACAAATACAGGTCTGGGCACAGAGATTCACATCTGTTAACCCAGCTATGCAGTAAAGGTAGGTAGGAAGGTTATGGTCCAGGCCACCCAGGCAAAAACCATGAGACTCTACCCAAAAAAATAACTAAAACAGAAAGGGCTGGGGTGCTCAAGTGGTAGAGGACTTGCCTAGCAAATCCACCACAGTACCACCAGGGAAAAAAAATAAAAACATAAATACAAATTCATAAAAGGGAAAAAAGAAAAGCAAAAACTAGAATTGAGACAGTTAATAAATATGAAAGATAATTTAATCTTAGTAGTAATCACAGAAATGCAAAAAAAAGAAATAACATACATACCAACATTTACTTGTTATAATAATGTTTACAAAACTAATAGCTAGTGTTGAAAGGAATACAAAATGCTAGAGTACTTCTGGAAAATATTTTTGACATTATGAAACAAAAAAAGCACGTATGTGTATATTTGACTACATACAAACAATATGCATGTCCTTTGATCCAGCAATTTCATTTTTACAAAGTTACCCTAGAAAATAAGATATGCAAAAATATTTATATACTAACTTTTTTTTAGTGTTCAGAATGTACTGAAAATAGTGTTTTATGTACTGAAAACATCGCAAATGCCTATTAAGTAAATGATTAAAAATATGGTATATCCCACTCCTGGGCATATACCAAAACAAATATAAGTCAGCATATAATAGACACACTTGCACACCCATGTTACAGCAGCACTATTCAACAAGCCAGGTTATGCAATCAGGCTACGTGCCTCTAACAGGTAAATAGATACAGAAAATGTGGCATATATACACAATGGGGTGTTATTCAGCCATAAAGAATAAAATTATTTTGTTTTCAGGAAAATGGATGGACCTGAAGATTATCATGTTAAGCAGAATAAGCCAGATTCAAACAAACACCACATTTTCTGTTATATAAGAAATCTAGATTAAAAAAAAAAAGGCCATGAACATAAAAGGAGGACTATATTATTGAGGGGTACCAGTGGTAAGAGGGAGGGAGAAAAAAAAGAGAGTGGGGAAAGAGAATATTATTGAAGTAGACTGTATGCATGTATAAGATCATAATGAGACCCAATTAAAAAATGTGCAAGAAAGGTCAAAAAAGGGGGGGTTAGGGAGAAGGCGGATAGGAAAGAGTAATAGAGGTGAAAATGATCAAAGTACATTATATGCAAGTATGGAATTGTCATAATGAAACCCCTCACTTTTTACAATTAATATACACTAATAAAACTCCCCAAAATACAGTATTGTCAGCAAAGTGGAATATATTTTCAAAGAACTTTGCAATGTAGGAAATACTCTCAAAGTAGAAATAGAAACCATGAAAATTATGTTAAAGTATCTACATAGCACATGAAAAATAAAAGTTAGAAAGTCATTTCCTTAAATTTGGTTCTCAACATTATAGATAAGTTTTTGTTTACTTTTCTGCATTTTCCTAGAATTTGGACATGATCACATATTAAATATAATTTTAAAATAAATATCAGAATTACTAGAAAGAAAATGCTACTATCTAAAGGAAATTATTAAGTAGAATGGTACTGCAAAAGAAATACAAGTTTAAAGTCAAAAGGTCTCTGTTCCAATGAGGTTCATCAGTTCTTTCTCAAAGAACCTTGTCAAAACACAACTTCAGACTCTAATCCTCATTTATAAAATGAGACAGTGATAAGTGCTGCCCCATTTATTTACCCCACAAGGTTGGAGCACACAATAACAATGCGAAAACTTTTAAACTAATAAGTGATATACAAGTATGTGCTTTCATTATGAACTAATTTGTGTAATACCAATGTAAAGGCTTAGTGTTGCCTATTATGTATACACAATCAGTTGTCTCTCATTCCCAGAGCCAGTATTTCAAACTGTCACCACTACTTAGCAGAGGAGCCCTCCTTTGCACCTTCCTTCCAATATAGAAAGGTCAGTATGGCACACTGGAAAGAGCACATTTTTAGCTACTTGGTGTGCTTCAATCTTCTCATCTGTGAAACAGATTATTTTTGCACAGATGCTGAGCTTTAGATAATTTAAGAGCCTATCATAACAGATGCCTTTCATTTTCAATAGGCAATCTTCCTGCATATGGTAACTTGATGGACCAGATGCTCCCAAGTGGGCCAGAACATTTGGCTATTTTGTTCTCCACTGTATCTTCTTAGAATAGTACCTACCACAGAATGGCAGGCTCAACAAATATTTGGTGAGTGGATATATTCCCTCAACCTTTCCTATCCCCAAAATATTATGTGTATCAGTCTCCCTTATACCTATCTGTGACTTCCCAGTCTTGACAACACCCTTTCTGGGTTCTCCCCTCTTCTGTCTGTTACCTCTCCAACTTCCTCAGCTCTCTAGTTATGATTGTTTCCTGATCCTTTCCACTTGCCTACCTCTCAAGTTATAGAGAGATAAGGTAGTACTGTGAAAGTAAGTGGGGACTCTTGAGTCAATCTGATCGTATGTGGCAAATCAGTCCGTCTGAGCCTATAAGCTCATCAATGAAAAAGGACTAATACAACTACTAATTCCCAGTGGAGGGGATGTCATGAGAACTGAAAGAGTTGGTGTATGGAGAATGTAGTTCAATAAGCATTAATTACTTTCCTAGGCTATCATCTTTCACTGTATACATTCCAAAGACTTCTAAATTTCTATCTTGAGCAAAGACCACATTGCTGGCTATATTCCACACCAGTCTATCCCTTGCCTAACAGACCTCTCTAACTGCAAGATTCACAATATAATACCTCAACACAGTCATCCAACACATTTAAAACTCATGTTTCCTTCTTGCCCTTAAAAAAAACTATTCCTCTTTTCTAATACCTTATGTAGGAAAATGGATCATTACTGATCTGTACTCCAAAGCAGAAGACACCTATCATCCTAGACATACCCACCCCTTTAGGACAGCAGTCATGAGTCTACCTCTTCAGATCTGTCACTGGTCCAAGCCATCCTCATTGTTTGCCTGAGCTACTACACTGCTTTTACCATTAATTTGTCTCTTGGTGGCCCACCATCTCACTCCCCTCCTATTTATTGTGTGGCACTGCCTGTGCTTTTTCTGAAGTCCAATTTCAATATCACTTTCCAGGTTAAAGTCCTTTTGCAACTCCTTATCTCCTGAAAGACAAAGTATTGTAGTGTACATATAATGTCTATCATCTGGTCAGCCCATTCTCCTTCCAGTCACTTTGCTGGCACTCTCCATCAACATTGCACTCTGGTCATCCCAGAACTCAATTTTATGCCACATTCAACATGCTGTTCCCTTTTCCTAGAATATCGTGCTGAGTCTGATGAACTTCCCTGACCTTCTCTAGGGTAGTGTGTATAGTCAGTCCATGTAGGTCCAAATTATACTTCTGTCATGACCAGTTGTCTGATCTCAAGCAAGTTACTTCTTGGAGCGTATTTCTTCATCTATAAGGTAGGATTAAAACAATATCCAGAGCCAAGCTTGATAGGTGCAAACTTGTAATCCCTGCACTCAGGCTAAGGAATGGGGAACATGAGTTCAAGGCCAGCCTGGACTACATAGTGACACCCTGTCACAAAAAAGCACCCTCCTCCCCCACCAAACACAACCCAGTATATATATATATATACCTCATAGGGCTATTGTGAGGACTTGAGTCAGTATTGGTGAAAAGCTTAGAACAAAGCCTAGGCACATGGTATTAAGTAAGTTAAGGGTTAATTATTAAATATTCTGCATCCCTCACTGGGAGAATCAAGCCCTCCAGATTCTGTGTCCACATAGCATCCATTCCATTATTATAACAATGACTACAATATATTTCAATTGTCGTTTCCTGTCTACATCCACCACTAAATTGTGAGCAGGTTATACCTTATGATTATTATCTCCACAGTCCTGGGCAACAGCAATCAAATGTGTGTTGAACTTAGGTAAATTATATTTCTGTTCAAGCATTAACTAATTTCTTAAAGGAAAAATGATGCTTTTAGACTTTAGAGCATTTACAGAACATCTTCACATTACAGATATTTTGAGGGGGGCTGGGATTTGAACTCAGGGCTTTGTGCTTGCAAAGCAGGTACTCTACCACTTGAGCCACACCTCAGTTCATTTAGCTCTTGTTACTTTGGAGATGGGGGTCTCATGAACTTTTTGCCAGGGGTTAGCCTTGAACAGTGATTCTCCTAATCTCAGCCTCCCAAGTAGTTAGGATTATAGGTATGAACCACCAGCACCTGGCAAGACACTCCAACTTAATAGTGTTTAAAACACTGTAGCTCTAAGACAAGAAACTAGAGGAATTTCAGTCATGGTCACAAGCTACTGGTGTCAATAAAAGCTACCGATCTACTTTGAAATGTGGAGAGTTGTAGAAATGAGAAGCAAAGAACAATGGTAAAAAATATGGGAATAATGTCAGAGTACTACTCCTAGATCAAAGCACTACTCCTAGCTCAAAGCACTAAGAGAACCCCAGCCTTTCAATGCCCAGGCTATGATTTCCAGTGTGAAAACAAACTCTTTTTAAAAAAATATGCTGGTCTTTACACATTAGCATAGACAAATCTCAGAAGTATAATGCTGAGTGGAAAAAGGGACAGGAGATATATATATATATAATGTTATGTTAGTTACATAACATTAAAAAACACAATACTAAATAAAAGAACAATTCTAGAAGATGGGAGGAGGTATAATATGGGATGCCCTATCTCAAGCTGTTGTTGGAACATAATTTTTTTTAATATGCGAGTATGTGCATGTGTGTGTGTAAATGTTTAAACACACACACTACAGTGTCTTACTTGCATGAGAGATTTCATGATAAAAATGTTTAACCTAAAAAAACTTGTGATCTACAGTTTTTCACGTACGATTTTGATATTCCAGAAACATCTCAATCATTCTTTCTTCTTCCTTTAATTTTGCAGACAACTTTTCTGAAAGAGAAATTAAAGTTTCAATTCAGCTGAAATTACCCTAGAAAAAAAAGAACAGCAAAATGGGCAAGTCACAAGTTAGCTGTAAGTACCTGAAAGTGCTTTAATGGAGTCCTTGTAGGCATCTTTTAGCCCCACCATCTGACAGGGAGTGTCACTGAGGGTGTTTTTGAACTTACTCCCAAATTCACTTATGATTTTATCGAAGTGTGCCAGTTCATCCTCTACCATTGTGGAAGCCACTACAAAACATACAGAACACATATTCTATTTTAAAAGATTACTGAACGCAAACAAACCACATATGCGAATCAAGTCTATTTTGGCAGTTTGACCCTTGCTACAAAAAAGTTAGCAATGTACCTTTAGTTCTAGATATTCTGGGGTAAATCAAGCACTTGGGCTTACCTGTGGTTAAGGTGAAGCAAGCATCCAGGACACCTTTACCTGCTAAGGACTGGTTAGTAGGTAGGTAAGGGTGAGTGCACAGGAGATCCTGCTCAGTGACCCCAGGACACTGACTCTGACTTCATTTGTCTCACAAGTAACGTGGGTGACTTCTAGGGCCTCCTCCTACTCTGACTTTCTGAAGGCCAGGAGGGCAGTGGTCCCATTCTCCTGGAGAAGGGCTCCCACAGGGACTCTGTCTCTTCCTCCGGCCCCTGAACAGGTATGGTAGCAGTTAAGTGCAGAGAGGGGTAAGCTTGGCGAGTTCGATGCAAGACATGCACGGGTGACCTCATCTCTCTGGTCCTCAGGACCCTTCTCTGTAAAGAGATGTCCTCGAAAACCCCGAGCCCCACTAGTTACTTGTGACGCTGAAGCCTTTCCAGGAGGACCAAAGACACCTTGTTTAGTCAAGCCCAGAACCCCAGGGCTCTGCCGCTCCCCACCGACCAGGCTCAGAAACTCAAAAGTCAAGTCATGCATTTCACAAACGCTTCCCCCCAAACCTATTCTCTTATCGCGATAGGCTCCACCCCCTCGCACCTTGGCGGACAGGCCTGAGCCCCCGACCTTCCCCAAACCAGATCTGCGCCGCCTCCAGTCACCAACCGGTGTCCGCACCCAGGTCCCGCAGCCGCGCCAAATTTCCGATTTCAAACCCAAGGCGCCCGCTCCCTTATGATTGGCTGCTAGTGCAAGCTCTCCGCGCAGTGATTGGTTGATACCGCCTTCCGGCGTTCTCGCGGAAAAATATGGCGGAAAGGGGATTCTGGGACTCGTAGTTCTTTTCTAAGCCACAGCCGGACGCACAGCTGTGCGTTTGCAAGTATTAAGAGCCCCAGATTGCCCCAGCCGGAGCCGTTCAGTAGCTTCTAATAAAGGTTTCGAAACAAACAAAATATAGAAATTGAAATTTATTGTATCTTTTTGCGAAGTACATAACCTCTTCCTTGCACTTTTTTTTGGAAGGTTGACTCCAATTATGAGTGGGCAGAAACATATTGAGGGTCCTAAGAATTTGTTTGCACTGTTTTTAAAAACATCCTTCTTTTCTACTCCCCAAGCTTTTCTAACGGTGTTTTTGAGGCCTACTAGAACAATGCATCGCTCCTTCTTGCAGAACTTCAAACAGGAAGGACTAAGAACAGTATCAAAATCACCAATGTTCCCTGAGGACAAGAAGGAGGCAACAGCCACTCAACTAGGATCTGGGACCAGCTGCAGGGACCTGAACTCCAGACAGGTGAAATGTATTCGCTATTTGCATCCTTCTTGGTAAAGCCAAGGAAGAAAGAAAAATAGGACAAGAATGGAGAATACACCCTCTAAAGAAATTATACTTAAGATGGCCCTCTAAAGAAATTATACTTAAAAGATACTGTTTTCATCTTTGACTATGTTTCTGAAAACAAAGCCCTCATTACAGGTCTTGACTGTACTACTGTTTTCTTTGATTACCTTTATTCAGACACCAAGAATAAGATAAAGGCATAAAAACATGCTTAGAGGTATCAGATATTGGCCATTCTACCTCCAAGAACTAAAATAAGACCTCTTAAATCAGGACAAGTTATTATTATTATTAGCATTTTAACACATCACAAAGAACCTAAAAGTCAGCTTCCAGCTTAGGGTTTATTATTAATAAATTTGGATATATAGTTTGCTGTGAAAAGTCTTCATTCATTTTACAAATACTTATCTAAGAACCTCTGATTTTAGATGTAGTAATATTTACCTTACACTTTATGAGTTGGGTATCTCAGAACTTCAGCTGAATGAATGATGGTGCTTATTGCTAGGGTTTTCACTGTCCCAGATTAGTGACTATGGTACTTAATAAGATTCATGAAAGGGTGCTGACTTGGAACCCCGTTTTGCTCACTGAGCTTTTACACTGGACTTAACCAGCCTGTTAAGTAAATATTCTAGATCTCTGTTGAACTTGAACTGAGAGGACTGACTGCCCCCACCAACGTGCAGTTTTCAGGGTTGACAATTGCCTTTTATTCTTTCTGAGAACTGCATCTCAACCAAGGTGTGAGAGAGAAATTTCTAGGTTGTCAAAATTTTCATCTCTGAAAGACTGGGTGGATGATTTCTCTCTACATTTCTGCATGGCTTATGGCAGGAAGCACTGAAATAAATGATTCAAAAGAATAAAATTAAAAAGTCTTCTGAGAATTGCTGTAATCAAAGCACAATATCCAAAGTGCAGTCAATCTTCAGTGCTATGTTCCACCTGGAATCTTTCATCTTCCTAGAATTTAAAGAAAAATATGGAAGCACTGAGTACTCCAACATTGTGGAGTGATGAGTTCACCAAGTCTTTCCCTCCAAAAAGAAACCATAAAACCGTACCAAAATTATAAATTGTCATTTCAGTGTCCTGGAAATTGATAAAAGGCTTATGGCTTGCTCAGAAACATTATACTAAGTGAAATAAGTCCAGATGCAAAGGACTACATATTATATGATTGCATTTCTATGACATAACCAGAAGAGGAAAACCCAGAGACAGAAAGCAATTCAGTGATTGCCTAGAGACAGGAGCAGAAGGAAACACTGACTGCCAGAGGGCACAAGTGAACTTCTGCGGTAATGGAAACATTCTAAAAGTGGTTTGTTGTGATTGTTGACAATTCTGAAAAAATATCATGGGATTATAATGGTTATATTTGTGGTACATAAATTATCTCTCAATAAAATTGTAAAAATGTTTTAAAAGAGATGAAGGATGTCAGTACTTTAGAGGAAAAAAAGAATACATTTCCCAAATATTCAGAAAATGCTCAATACAGCGAGAAAGCTGAGCTGTAGTTAAGTGTACAGTCAGAGGCGTTACAGTAACGTAGCTGTACAACCATCACCACTATGCGTCTCCAGAACTCTTTTTAATCTTGCAAAACTGAAACTCTGTGCCCATTGCACAATGAATCCCATTCTTTATTCTCCCAGGACACTGGCAACCATCACTCTACTTTCTGTCTCTAAAAAGCTGATTATGCTGGGGTGTATGCGTAGCATTCCCGAGGACCTGGGTTCCATCTCCAGCACCAGCCACAGAAAAAACAAATTGACTACTCCAGTGCCATTTTTCAATTGTCTCATAAGTATCAAAAGTGGGGATTTGTTTTACAGCTTTTAAATGCAATCTATTAATCAATTAATGTGAATATTTTATGCATGATAATGGTATTGCTTTCATTGTATTCCGGAATACATTTTCCCCTTTTATCCTACACTTTGCATTTATAAATTCTACCTATATATTAAGGTGCAGTCATTTGCCACCTCATCCACTAAAGCTTCCTAATCTCATAGACAGAAACTAATATTTGCCTTTCCTCTGTTCCACTTACTGTTTACCTGTAACAGCACAGTGTTATGTGTTTATGCAAACATCTTATCTCCCTTACTAGACTACAAGCTTCTTAAGATACATGTAAAAATGGAAATATTCCCTCAGTGCTTTTCAAAAGTGAAGTTCCTCACTCAACAGCATTACCATCATCTGGGAATTCATTAACAATGCAAACTCTAAAGGCCCCAATCCATTCCTACCAAGTCAAAGATGAAAATGGGTTCCTGTAACCTGGGTTTTAACAAGCCCTCTGGGTAAGTAAGATGCACACTAACATTTGAGAGTCACTGTCTTAGGAATAAGTACTCTCTAAGTAATCTAAAACATATGTGCTCAGCTATATAACATCTTAGCTCTGCTGTGAAGAAAATTCACAGCACTGTCCAACAGGCAACTCTCTGGGGTCCTTTGATGATCCGAGAAAGAGTTTATGGATGTATAAGCCATGAACCTTTCTAGAGAGGAGTATATAATAACTAATGGAGGGGGTATCTGGAATAGCTATAGCAGGATTGTTCGTAATAGTGTCATTGTGGAGTGCCAATATTCCTGGGATGTGAGCCAGAATGGAGGTAGTTCTTCTCTGAACATTAGTAGAGTCTAAACTATCAAGTCTGAAATAAATCCATTTTATATTGCATGGTGACACTGGAGTTCTCAAATACAATTTATTTTAAAGAAGGCAGATATGTTTGTGGTAAAGGGATAGTGACTACACAGACATTATGAAAGGTCAGTGTCCTCAAAATCTATTTTTGTTTTTTTGTCACTACATAAGTGACACAAGCCAAAGACAAATTCAACAAATGATGTTGAATTGCAACAGGCACTATAGCTCAGAGATGGATATTTCATTTTATGATAAGAATATATCTTCCAGTACATCAAAAGGGGGTCTGGGGGAGTACTTCAAGTGGTAGAACACTTAGCTAGCAGCACAAGAACCTGAGTACCACACACACACACATTTGAGCCAGGTGTGGTAGTGCATGCCACTTGGGAGGGTGGGCAGGAGAATCATAGTTCTAGGCCAGCCTGAAGTACCTAGGAAGACTCTCTCTCTCTCTCCCTCTGTGCGTGTGTATATATGTGTATACACACATATATATATATATATGTATATATATATATGGTTTTGTAATATTTGATGTGGCAAAGCATATTGAAGAAATTCTACCCTCTGTCCTCCATGTTGCAATCTAAAACAAGCAGAATTTACTTAAATCAAAATTTAGGGAAAATTTAAATGAATCAGAATGAGAACATTCTGAAAGTATTCAATTACTGGAACTAACTAAAAACAAGGCAACAGTACAGAGTTTTGAGACTGACCATATTAGACATGCATAGTCATTAAAAGTAAGGATGTTAAGACCAGCCAATCATACTGGGGCGAATGGAGAACTGAAGATGTCTTCTG